TATCGACCTTGAAATGCCTCTACTTTCCGATCCGACCGACCCACCCCAAAGCCGTCTTAGCTGCATTGATTTTGTACGCCTTCCACCTAACTGTGTTGCACACATTGACCTCTCCTGTACGCCACCTGTACCTGACGGCGATTACATGGTTGCACCAATCCATGCCGGGATGCTTACGCATGCCGTCACTGTTGCGAACACGATTTTGACGATTGTTGGAAACCACACATGCCTTCCTATTGTCAATCTTGCCCTCACTGCCGAAATTCTTCCCCATGGTATCTCCCTGGCTCAAATTACTGCCCTAAAGGACCACGTGGTTGAGCCCTTCATAGTGAATGATTGCTGCAGCTCAGCCCGTGATCCAACTATATCATGGTTATAGTGCGTCGACGTTGACGGCATGGTACCATCAGACTTCACTCCTGATCAAGCGGGAGCCCTCCGCCACGTCCTGGAGTCCTATGGTGGCATTTTCGACTTCGAGAGCACGTCCTTAAACCGGAATAGTGTTGTTACTCATCGCATCACAATTGGTGACGCAAGTCCCATTCACCGACGTCCACAACGTCCACACCGACGTCCATACCATACAGTCATACAACATGAAGTTAAAAGGATGCTTGCAAAAGACATAATTGAGCCCTTGGGTAGCCCCTGGGCTTCTCCTGTCGTCCTTATCAGAAAGAAGAATGACGTGGCACGTTTGTGCAGATTATCGGCATTTCAACAAAATACCAAAAAAGATGTTTACCCGTTGCCTTGAATGAATGATGCCTTAGACTGCCTTCACAGTGCTACTTATTTTTTCACAATCGACCTTCGATCTGGCTATTGGCAGATTGCTGTCGATGTGATGAACCGTGAGAAGACCGCATTCGTCACTCCTGACGGTCTTATCATTTCAAAGTTATGCCCTTCCGTCTCTGTAATGCGCCAGCCACAATAGAAAGAATGATGGACTCATTGCTCCACTAGTTTAAATCGTCAACCTGCCTATGTTATTTAGACGACGTTATCATTTTATCGTCCACATTCGACTCCCCTTTCGATCATTTATCGGCGATTCTTGAAGTACTTCGTCAAGCCGGACTTCAATTGAACTCTTAAAAATGCCACTTTGCTCGTCGTCAAATAACCGTACTTGGCCTCATCGTCAATGATGCAGGAGTCCGCCCGGATCCCGAGAAAATTCGCTGCCGTCACGGACTTTCCTGTTCCGACATCAACAAAAGACGTTCGCAGTTTTGTGGGCTTGTGCTCCTACTTTCGACGGTTTGTTAAGGACTTCGCGATCATTGAACGCCCACTCACAAACCTCCTGAAGAAGGACACCCCGTTTTTCTGGGGCGCTGATCAAGCCTCAACTTTTTCCCAGCTGATCGCCCTCCTTGCAACACCACTGATTTTAGCTCATTTTGATTCATCAGCTTCCACCGAGGTTCGCATTGACACTAGTGGGCGCGGCATAGGAGTGATTCAAAACGCGAACATGACCATGTTATAGCATATGCAAGCCAACTGATATCTACCGCCGAGCGCAAGTATTCAATCACGGAGCGTGAGTGCCTGTCACTTGTGTGGGCAGTCGCCAAGCTTCGCCCATACTTATACGGGCATCCATTCCGAGTAGCCACCGATCACCACGAGCTTTGCTGGCTGCCCTCACTCAAGGATCCCAGCAGGACGCCTTGCTCGTTGGGCCCTACGTCTACAAAAACATAAATTCACCGTAACGTAACATACAGGGCGGTTGCATGAAGTTGCGGATTGTTTATCTCGCTACCCTTTGAAAGAAGCCGTCCATACTGACTCCTTTCCAGACCTGTCGGTGACGCAGCTACTCATCCTTGGCCACAAACAACGCCGGGATGCTTCTCTGCGAACCTTCATTAATACGCTTCAATTAATGGCTCACGATGCATCTCTACAAATGTTGCTGATCAAAGATGGGATCCTTTATCGCCGTAAACTCGATTCATATGGCCATGACTTACTCCCCGGCATACCAGCACATCTTTGTGCGACTGTCCTCAACTAACTTCATGACACTCCTTCGGTGGGCCACTTGGGCATTTATCTCACATATGACCATGTACGTGGTCGTTTTTTTTCACCTGGTGTTGCCCGCTCTGTTTGGCGCTACGTCGCTACCTGTGAGCCCTGCCAGCACCGTGAAAAGCCATCTTCTTTACCAGCTGGATTCCTTCGGCTGATCGACATTCCCACTGAACCATTTTTCGAGTTGGCCCATTCCCGACCTCCAGCTTAGGCAACAAATAGATTGCTGTCGCCACAGACTATGCGACATTAGGTGCTATCGCACGAGCACTTCTGACAAGTTGCGCAACCGATTAGGCGGCTTTTCTGATATACAATATTACTTTGGTTAATGGAGCTCTCCGCCAACTCCTCACTAACCGCGGCCAGACTTTCCTGTCAGCTGTCGCTGACGAAGTCCTGGGTTCTTGCTCTGCCAAGCATAAGTTGGCCGCTTCGTACCATCCGCAAACGAATGGTCTTACGGAGCGCCTCAACCGAACCATAACTTTCATGATTTCTAAATACGTAGCAGCCGACCACGAGGACTGGGACGTACATTTGCTATTTGTGATTTTCGCGTACATTTCACCGGGTCACGACACTGGCGGCTCTTCGCCATACTATCTTCTATACGGCCGAGAACCCACCCTACCATTTGACAGCTTGCTGCCATCAGTCACTGAATATGCCGGCGAAGCCTTCGCGCGAGCCGACTACGCACGCCAACTTGCCCGCAGCCGTCTACTGGCCTCACAGGGGCACCAAAGAAAGCTCTAGAATTCCCATCATCGGAACGTGCTCTTTACACCTTGTTCCCTTGACCTTCTCTGGTCCCCCACTCGACGTGCAGGTCTTTCTGAAAAACAGTTGTCACGCTACACTGTACTGTACCGCGTCGTTCGTCAGGTGACTGACGTTTATTTATTTATTTATTTATTAGAATACCCTCAGGGCCCGTAGGGCATTACAGAGGGGGTGGGTACAACATATATAACACACAAGAAAAAAAAGACAAAATAAAGAAACAAGTATCAGATGCGCAAATCAGGAAGGCAACATAAGTCAACTAAAAATGTATAAGAATTCAAGCACATACAAGACAAAGATAGATAGTGGAAACTGCGTATAGTTACAAGCATTGCTGAGAAATTGCAGTCTTGAATAACAAAGGGTCTGTTATTGATACAACGGAAGAGGGAAGGTGGTTCCAATCGGCGGCTGTTTTCGGTAAGAAGGCTCCTGAAAAGAATTTGGTGCGGCAAAACGGAATGGCAACCTTATGCTGATGATCAATGCGCGACGAGTGGTATGACGGTTGTGAAATGAGGTCTCGCTTCATTGATGGATTGTGAAAAAATATCTTATGAAAAAAATGCAGTCGCGCCAGTTTCCTCCGGACAGTTAAATTGGGTAGGTCAAGGTTAGATTTCATTTCTGATATGCTAGCAGTACGGGAATAATTAGAACAAATAAACCGAACTGAGCGGTTCTGAACAGATTCTAACGCGTTAATTAAATTTTGCTGCACGGGATCCCATATAGCGGACGCGTACTCAAGCTTTGGGCGAATTAGTGATCGGTATAATAGAATTTTGAGGGACAGCGGAGCGCGAGAAAAGTTGCGGCGTAAGTATCCTAGCGTTCGGTTAGCGTTATTACAGATGTAGGTAACATGCGTGTGCCAAGATAGATTGTTGGTAATGTAAACGCAGAGGTACTTATATGAAGAGACATGCTGGAGGGGAACGGCGTTAATTCTGTAGGTACAGGGGGGAGAAATAGATCGCCGGGTTATTGACATGCATTTAGATTTGTTAGAGTTGAGTGTCATAAGCCATTTATTGCACCAGGTTGAGACAGTGTCAAGGTCTGACTGTAGAAATTGGTTATCATATTCATTGTTTATTTCGCGGTAAATTACACAATCATCTGCAAATAACCTTATAGCGGAGTTAATGCTGTCTGGGAGATCATTAATATATATAAGAAAGAGCAAAGGGCCTAATACGGAACCTTGGGGTACGCCGGATGTTACTTTAGAAAGAGGTGAGTTATAGCCATTAGTTGTTACAAACTGAGTGCGATTAGTCAGAAAGCATTCAATCCATTTAAGAACGTTACATATGATATCGTTGCAGCCGTTCGAACGTCATCATAACCAGCTTCGAAGGACATCGTGCACAAAGCTCGACTCAAGCCTTATCACCCTCCTTGCACCGCATGGAAGTACCTCAAGCACCAAGGCGGTGCTTCTACCGCCGGAGGTTATGATACAGAACAGCCGCAGCAGCCTTGCTGTGTGAAAGAGAAAGACGATGACAGTTGTTGCTGGTTGTTGATGAACTGGTGCCATCTTGTTCGCTGAGTTCTGTGCATCGCATATAGTTTAATAACTGGGTGACGCGTAACACTATAATACGTTAATAAGAAATTAGGAACTTTCGTCTCGAACAATCATTATACCAGCCGCACGACAACGAATACTGCCATGACAAGTCAACCTGGTTCACTGTAATTGCGGAATTTCTGTCTAGGCTACTGCCTGTATCGCGGAAATGTTTGTGAAAATCTCTCGACCAACACTCGTTCATCGTTGTTTACGTTAAAAATGTGAGACTGACAACAAACAGACAGTGCTCGTTAGTATGTCACGTGTTGCCTACTTTGCGTGATGTCAGAACTCTGTCGACCTGTCACTACAACGTCACCTTCTCGGGGCTGGAACTGAAATTGCTACTTCAAGGAAGTGGTATCAATAAAATATGTTCAATGCGTTCTCAAGCCGGCATCTTTTAAAGGCTCTCGAGATCCACGTTTTGATTTAAAGCAGCAACCCAAAAACATTTCCCATTTGTGTCAGTACAACTTCGAGAAGCCTATTACTTTTTATCTTTCACGGTTTCCTGAGCTTGAACAATTACCCCATTTTGAACAGCATTTCTTCTTCATTTTTGCAGATAACCTTGCTTTGCATAAGCGCCTCTATGGAGGCGTGTACATTGTGGACTGCCTACCGAAGACCGAGACCGCAAAAGTGAACAGACCAGCACTGGCCCGTTCCCTGGCATGTCAGTAAAGCAAATGCCTGCAAAACCATTAATAAATATTGGATGCCACATTGTTTATTGCATTTATATCCATAGCACAAGTATGATCGAAGCAGTGCCGACTTCTTCGATGGGTTTTGTAGTGAAGGAAGGACAAGAACAACAACAGAGAAAGCAGGGAGGTTATGGGTGTTGTAGGCTGATTCTTTCTCAAAGCACCCACTCGTCAATGCGTCTACAGGAAATAGTACACATGTGCACTCATGTAGCTTGCTGTTAACGAATGTGGTGTCGGTGAAAGAAATATAAAATAACACGGCTCAAGAGATGCAGACTGAATGCAGATAACAGGAGTCTTATTTCTGTAATGATGGTAGCGTCTGCGACAGCTCGTTTCTTGCGTCTTTCTCAGAGTAAATGTTAGGAAACAGCACACACACACAATATATATATATATATATATATGTATATATATATATATATATATATATATATATATATATATATATATATATATATATATATGTGTGTGTGTGTGTGTGTGTGTGTGTGTGTGTGTGTGTGTGTGTGTGTGTGTGTGTGACGTAAGAAGGCAGGGATGGTTAGGACATGTAGATGAGGAAGAAGTGCTTTTAGAATAAACAAGGCGTATGAGCCAGGCCACGTCTCCCAGTCATCATAACGTCACACGAGTCGACAGGATGAAGACGTGGCCACCGCTCATCAGCCTCACATCATTCACGAAGTCACCGGCAATACACCTCAGTTTTCAGTTTTCAGTTTATTTCAGTTATTAGTGCAGAAAAAGGAACAGTATACAAAGTATATATACAGGAGGAGGTCCGAAAGCACAAGGCTGCAGGGGGACCTCCTGTTCAAAATGGGATTACAAAATTTACTCAATTAGCAGTAGCAGTGAAAACAGAGAGATGAGTAAATTGATAAAACCAACACTAAGAAACAAGTAAAAAGAAGAGTGGAATAAACAATATAACAAGATAAAAACATCTAGTAGTTTATCAAGTACGAATACAATTGTTTTTTAAATGTGCCAATAGTCGAGCATTGCTTGATGTGAGATGGCAACGAATTCCATAATGATAATGCTGAGAAATATGCAGTGTGGCGACGAAAATTAGTGCGGATAGTAGGAAGTAGAAAATTTCCACTTGAAGCGAATCTAGTACGGTTTAAGTTAGACAAAGCATTAGGATAAAAGACGCTTGATGGGACAAGATGGTGCAAGGATTTGAACAGCATGATAATGAGGTGATATTTAAATAAACTAACAGTAGAAAGTATTTCGAAGTTACGAAGTAATGATGATGCACTAGAACGATATGAACTGAAAGTCATTATTCTGATGGCTTGGTTTTGAATGTGCTGAATGGGAGATGAGTGGGTGAGGTATGTATTTCCCCAAGTGGTGATGCAATAATTAATATGGCTGTGAATAAAAGCATAATATAACTTGATTAGAGTTAAAATGTTAAAGTAGTAACGTGCTCTGATTAGAATCCTGACACCAAATGCTAGTTTTTTGCGGAAATAAATAACATGATTAGAGTATTTTAGGTTGCTGTCGAGAACGATTCCTAAGAAAGAGCATTCGTTGTCAGGGTTAATGGGTGAGCCATTTAGTTTAATAGAAATTTGGGAGGGAAGAACTTTGTTAGCTGAGTGAAATATCATGAACTTAGTTTTCTTAGGGTTAATACTGAGGGAATTCGTGAGACACCAGCTTAAGATGTTATTTAGATCTTTTTGTAATTTTAGCGTTAAAGAGTCAATTGATTTACCAGTGGCAAGTATTGTAGTGTCATCCGCATAAAGAAAAGGCAGAGAGTTAGTAACTGAGAGGGGAAGGTCATTCATGTAAATTAAAAATAAAAGCGGGCCAAGAATGGACCCTTGAGGAACACCCTGATTAGTAGTAAGAAAATTGGATAAAGTAGAGCGAACATAAACAGCCTGCTGTCTATTACAGAGGTAACTTTTAATGAGTGTAAGGGCAGGTCCAACAATACCAATGGCCGTGAGTTTCGTTTCCAGGATGCTGTGATTAAGTGAGTCGAAAGCTTTGGTTAGGTCAATGAACAATGCTCCAGCTAATTCACCAGAATCAATAGCTTTTTTAATCTTATCATGAAAGTTAACAATGCAAGATTAGTCGAGAAAGCAGGTTGAAAACCAAACTGACTAGGAGTTAAAATGGAAAACTTAGACAAGTAATTAGTTATACGTTTCTCAATACACTTTTCTACTATTTTACTAAAAGATGATAGGATAGCTATGCGGCGATAATTAGATATTAAAGTTCTCTCGCCTTTTTTGAACACTGGTATTATTTTGGCCTGTTTTAGTTGAGATGGGAATGTACCTGTCTTGTATATTAGATTGATAATGCGGGATAGAGGGACAGCTATATGGTTGGCAATTAGCTTAATGTAGGACGAGTGAATTCCGTCCAGTCCAGGAGAAGTTACTTTAGGATTATGAATAATGCTGATAATTTCGTTAGGGTCTCTTGGGAAGAGGTAGAACGATTGTGGAGAACGGACCTGAGATCTATTGGACGATGGGGGTGTACTAGAAGCTTGTTTACAGTAAAATGAGTTGAATTCATTCGCAATGTCAATTGGCTGATCTAAGACATGGTCAGCAATTTGAAGCTCAGTGATAGTTAATTCGGACGTGTTCTTGTTTAGAAAGGAGTTAATAATTTTTAGAGTTGTTGCCAGCACGCGCTATTTTTTGTTCGTAATAACTTTTTCTAGCTGCTTTTAAGAGTCTATTGAGAGTATTAGAATAGAGGGTGTAACGATGTTTTAGATTCATATTGAAAGGACGGGGTTTGACTTTTTGTAGAGGTTTTCTTTTTTACGCATGCATGTCAATACACTGTTCGTTGTCCAGGGATTATCGGGTGCTGAGTATATTCTTTTACATTTTGCTACCGTGACGCTATCATGAATGCATTTGCATATGCGAGACGATAGAAAATCAAAAGCTAAGTTGACATCAGTGCATGTTTCAATGAAAGACCAGTCGACATTTGTTACGCGGTTCACATACTCTTCTTTGTTTAGAATTGATTTAGAAAATCTTAAATCGCGATTATGCTTGAAGTTTTTACATGAGAAGAAAACAGGGTAATGGTCAGTAATATTTACTTTAAGAACACCTCTGTGTTCAGATGAAAGAAAGTTATACAGAACATGGTCAGTGAGTGTGCTACTGCGGCCAGGAATGCATCTAGTTGGAAGTGTGATTAAGGACTCGTAACCAAAACCTTGGTAACAATTTGCATATTCAATGCGATTGAAAGTATCTTCAAGTAAATCAATGTCTAAGTCACCCACAATACCAACGTTCACATGATAATGTTTCAAGGACAGCATAGAGACTTGAAAAGAACTCAGAAATTGACGATGAAGGCGACCGATAGATAGTTCCAATGATAAGTTTACCAGTGGATGAAGGCTTGTCTAGTTCTATCCAAACAGATTCGCAGCTATCGACGACAATATGAAGGTCAGATCTGCGTTTATAGGGCAAAGTAGGTGAGATAAAGATGGCTTCGCCACCATGGCTACTTGATGTGCGATTGCAGTATTCTGACAAGTAACCTTGTAAGCCAAACAAGTTTTGATCCTCTAGTGTAAGCCAAGTTTCCGAGATGCAGGTGAGGGAAAAGGAACTTTTGAAAGAGTGTAAAAGAGCGTTTATTTCATCATGATTTTTTCTTAGACTACGCGCGTTAATGTGAATTCCTGAAATGGCAGAGTTATTCAAGAAGGAATCTAAGTTATTGATACTAAAATAAGACGACAGGATGACGCGCAGAGTTTCCTAGATAGATAAGTGACCAGATCTATCGAAAGATAGAAAGGTCAGCTTCAGTGCGAATCCAATACACGCTACTTTCGTTTGATTGCCTCGCCTTAATATGGCAATTATCCGTCCAAAGGAACGCCCAACCCTTTTCTCTCTTGAGGGAAAGAGCTTTCGCAAAAAACCTTTTGTTTTCTACGGTGAGATGATCATTTACATACAGAGAATAATGATGAGGGCCTGGGAATCCGAGATCATTCGTGTGCAGTTTGGCCTTGCGAGCCTTGCTTAAAAATTCTTGCTTCTTATCGCGAGAACAGAAGCGTGTGATAATGTTTTTTTGAGTCATTCTTAGTGGGGACGCGATGAATGACGTTGATGTCAGAATCAAGAATAGTGCAGTTGATTTTAGTAGCCACAGCTTTTACTATGGCTGTGCAATCTTCCCCTTGAGAGCACGGAATTCCCTTTAGTTCTACGTTGTTAAGTCTCGAGTATTGTTCCAGTTCTGACACACGGTTGGTTAAAATTTCATTTTGTTTCTTTAGAGACTTATTAGAGGCAACTAACATGGCGTTCTCGGAGCGTAGCTCCTCAACAAGGCATTGAGATCACTGACGCCTGACACGAGGCTCTGTACTTCAGCCTTCAACTTTGACGTCTCTGGTATTAGTGGCAGAAGTTTGGGTTTGCATTCTTCAATTAGTTTAGAGGCTATTTCTCCCAGTTTATTCTCAGTCCAGGCCTCAAGCTGTTCAATGCGCTTCGCCAACTCGACATTTGAGGGCATGTTTGTAGGCAATCAAAACAATGAGCAAGGTTGTACAGTGCGGTAGTAATTGCAGAACTAAATCCCTCACAGCACTAAATCACTCACAGCAGCAGTCACGGCAACGCACGATGCCCAAAACAACAAGAAGGCCACTGACCTGTGGAAGCGTTGAAAAACCTTTAGAATAGCTGGCGATACGTAGAGCCGTAACTGCTGCTGCAAAGTGACGCTGGGTGAGACGGGCCTCCGCTTTATGCCGGAACACGAGCAGGTGATCAGCGCAGTAGATCCACGCAGATGATCCCTTATCCACCAAGGATAGCCGACGCTGATATTCGTGTAGAATGCACGAACACAGATGGCTCAGTCAGGTGGTGAAGCAGGCGTCGAAAAGCTGAAATGGTCGGTAGCACAGGACCACCGAATCCGTGGCAACC